TCCACTCCAGTGCCTCCGTGTTGCAGCAGCTCCTCAGCGCGAGGGAGCGCGCCTTGGTGGTGATGCCTTGCTTTACGTTCTTTATATGAAAGCAGCCCTATCCTCACCACTAGGCACCAGAACTACACACTTGTGAGGGCAGGGAAAGGTTCCTCCTGCTCGTGCCCAGGCTGTGGCCACTGGGGACATCACCTTCATGCCAACAGTCCTCTGCCGCACGCTGCTCGCCACAGAGGGTGGGAGATGGAGCCTTCACGTGGGAGCAGTACAGTATTGTAGGAGTCTCAGTGAGCAAATCCCAGACCAGGGCTTGGCCTCTTTAGCCCCGAGAGAGGCTCCTGGCCCGTATGTGTGCTGGATTGCATTTTTAATTATCTGTCAAGGGCACCAGAGCTTGGGATAGTAGCTGTCATTCTGCTTATCAGCATTAAATAACATCAGCACTGTGGCCCATAGAGTGAGGAGGATTTAACCACAAAAGCCATGGATTCCTGTAGCACCATCTGTGGGGCATCTCAGTGTCCCATCCATGTGGTGATGGAGGACAGCATGTGTTTTAATGCAAGTAGCCTGCAAGGAGGCGAAAATGTACAGCAATCCTAGAGCATCTGGGGGCTGGGCCCTGCTGAGTGCACAAGACACGCCTGGGAGACACAGCGAGCTGGGAGTGGGAATTTCCTTGGCTATTGGTGGATGGTGGCCACCAGAAGCTTCGGAGCTTCAAGAAATGGAGGTGGCCTGGGAAAGCCACAGTGTGCAGAAACCTTCCAGCCAGTGCTGTCCCTGGTGAGTCTGGGATTAAAATCCTCCCCTGCAACATGCAGAGGGCTCGCTCCCACAGCAGACCTAGCAGACGGTGGCAGGAAACTGGTTGTGCTGCCATTCAGACCTCGACAGGCTGGAGAGTTGGGTGGAGAGGAACCTCCTGAAGTTCCCCAAAGGCAAGTGCAGGGTCCTGCACCTAGGCAGGAATAACCCCATGCACCAGTACAGGTTGGGGTTGACCTGCTGGAAAGCAACTCTGCAGAGATGGACCTGGGGGAGTCGTGGTGGACAACAAGTTAAACATGAGCCTGCAGTGTGCCCTTGTGGCCAAGGCGGCCAATGGTATCCTGGGGTGCATTAGGAAGAGTATTGCCAGCAGGTTGAGGGAGGTGATCCTCCCCCTCTCCTCAGCCCTGGGGAGGCCTCACCTGGAGTACTGTGTCCAGTTCTGGGCTCCCCAGTACAAGAGAGACATGGCACTACTGGACAGAGTCCAGCAGAGAGCTACGAAGCTGATGAGAAGACTGGAGCATCTCTCCTATGAAGAAAGGCTGAGAGAGCTGGGCCTCCTGGAGAAAAGAAGACTGAGAGGTGACCTCATCAATGTATACAGTTGTCTGAAGGGAGGATGTGAAGAGGATGGGGCCAGACTGTTCTCCGTGGTGCCCAGTGACAGGACAAGAAGCAATGGGCAGAAACTGAACCACAGGAAGTTCCATCTGAACATGAGGAAAAACTTCTTTCCTGTGAGGGTGACAGAGCACTGGAACAGGTTGTGCAGAGAGGTTGTGGAGTCTCCTTCTCGGGAAATATTCAAAACCCGCCTGGACATGATCCTGGGTAATATGCTCTAGAGGACCCTGCTTGAGCGGAGGGGTTGGACTAGATGATCTCCAGAGGTCCCTTCCAACCTCAAACATTCTGTGATTCTGTGAGATACACTGGGGGAAGGTAACATGATGGGGAAAATGGATTTCTCTATCTCAGCAAACCTGATGATGGGTGGCTGCCCTGCTGCCTCCCTTCCCTGGCTCTGCTTCACCTAGTCGTATGTTAGAACTTACTGTCAGCAGCAGAACTGTCACTGCTGGGTGAAGAGCGAAGAGCTCAGCTCTGTCCTCACAGTTGATCTTTCTGGCTGTCTGCAGACATAGGCAGACAGAAGTTAGGAATGTCCTGACCTCCCCAGCCAGTATGTCTACTCCATTCCTCATGCAGAAAGGACCCAATTGCTCAAAAGCCAAATCTCCTGCCCCACTTGTCTGCCTTCCTGGCTAATCCTTCCCCTCCCAGCGCTAAGCAGTGCCCCAGAGTAGGGGAAACTGCGGCGCAGTGCAGCCTGCCAGAAGAGCCTGCAATGCAAGCAGGGTTACTGTGAACATCCCCCCACACTTCAGGGATTCACTCATCATTCATTTCATTGCTACCCATTTCTTGGTGCACTTCCATGACAGGAAATGCCTAACAAAGGTACCCTCACCCCAGTCCTAAATCCCTATATTGTCCCCAGAGGACAGGGGAAATGCAAACGGCAGCATTCGAGCAGGGACCCAGGGCGCGCTGACCTCAGCGCAGCAGCATCCCTAATCCTCATCAGCCCTGAGGGTGCTGAGAGGTGGAAAAGTGGCTGTAACAGAGCTGGCATCAGCTCGTTTTGGGCCTTACCCACAAAGGACTAGCAAAAAAGAAAATAGAAGGAAAAAAACCAAACAAACAAACCCCGTTTTGTTCTGGGAGAAGGTGCCTTCCTCTGCAGCCCTACCCTAGCTGGGGAGCTGATCCCCCACAGGAGTCACAGCGTTTCCCTTCTGCCACCTCTCTTCTTGCAGAGCCTTTGCTCTGCAGGCCACGCAGCAGTGGGACTCCTGGGATCTCTTCTCAAGCTATGGGAGTCCCCATCCTCCCCGGGGAGGGTTCAGATGGCCTCATGATCTGAACATATCCGGCTCCGGCATTACAGCCTGAACCCTCTGCCTCCCCATCGCTGTGCACTAGGGCCCCATCGCACCACAGCTCAGGAATGCTTAGTTGCCGCCGCTATTGTCAGTGCGGCGGGAGGGGGAGATTAGCACCGAACACATGAGCGGGCGGACTCTGCCTGACAGGGAGCAGGATTTTCTGCTCCCCATCACCCAGCGATGTCCAGCAGGCCCACTCTCAAAAGCCGATCTCAGTCTGCTGTCTCTGCTAATCCTGCACACGTGGTCTTCTGGCAGACAGCCCCTATATAGGTCCTCCTGGCCCTACAGCCCTGCTGGTCTGAGAGTGGGAAGGCAGGCGAGCGAGATGGCATTGCGGGTAAGGAACGGGCAGGATCCTGCACAGCCTGATCTGGCTGATGGGTAACAGCTGGGGGCCAGGTGATGGATAAAGGAAAGCACACAGGTAAGGGTGAGAAACCCCGAGGAGAGCCAGAAATCCTGAAGCACACAGAGATGCTGCTGATGGTGCTGCCCCTCTGTTTCAGTAGTCCAGGCTATGTTAAATCCAGTGTGTATCCTGTGTGTTAGGGCTTGGGGTTTTCAAGAAAATGCAACAAGACAGATTTTTTTGCCTCTGGGGCTGATCTGGAGTAGCACCACTGCCCTGATGGCAGCTCTTCTGGCTGGGGAGGGTTTCAGCTGAGACCAAAATGTGGCCAGTGCTTCAGCAGCAGAGATTTCTGCCCTTTGCATGTTGAAGCCATCGCTGTTTGTTGCGTATGTGGTGTGTCTTACTGTCCATGTAGGTAAAGCTAGCCCAGGTGCTGGCACCACTACGCGCTGTTTGAGACCTTATAGGCAGCTCCACCTCCATGTCTCAGAGGGGCAAAAGCAAGTTATTGTTAAAGCCTTTGAATGAATGCATGAGGGTTTCTAAGGCCACCTTCCAGAAAGAGCTGGGCACAATGCCACAAGTGATCTTGTCTCAGTTCCTGCCTCCAAAATGTGCATTTCTCAGGGATGCCTTGGAAACAGGAAGCAGTGACTGAGAAAGGAGACCATAGAGTTAAACTGCTGAGCTCTTAGAGGGACAACCAGGCCTGGAGATGGGAGCGGGAGCTGCCATGGCTGGAGAGAGTTTCCCAGCATGAACAATAAATTTGGGGGAGGGAGATGCTCAGAAAGGCAAAAATCTAAGAAAGAGATTCTGAAAATTTAAAGAGGAAGATAAAGCTGGGGTTAAAGAGAGGATGCTAGCAGTGGAGAAAGAGGGCTCTAGCCCCTGGTGTCTGGTTAGAAGAACTATTGCAGAAAACTCTATCCCTAATTTAAACTCTTTGTCCTAAATCCCAAAAGGAAGCTGGATGGAGATTCTCACATGGTGAAGAGAGTGAGGATCTGATGGGGTGAACCTCTGTCTTAGCTACTTGCCTTGGTTGTCCCCTACTTGTTGTAGCTAGCGTTATTGTTTGCCCTTGTTTGAAGGAGCTATAAAACATTGCCCTCATCTGAACTGGCTGCGTTTCAGTGACAGCTTTGTATGATGTGGGGTTGGGGAGCCTTTGGCAGACAGGTCCTTGATGCCTGTGAAGAAATATGATCCCATTAATGAGGGGAAGGGAATCAGATCATTACAGTGCTAAAAAGAGGTGGGGTGAAATGACAAGCATTTCTTATTAAAATGAGTTATTTAATAAAGCTATGAATTATTCAAAAAGGAACACTTTCCAACTCATTTTATACAAGTTTAACCTTAGAGATGGAGGGAGACGGTGGAATGGGGGATCAGGCAAGGAGCTCTTGGGAAGCGTCATCTGTGTAACACGGGATGAGGATGTGCCAGATGCCACATTACGTTCATTCCTCTGATCAATCCCTGCCATTCAAACCCTTCTTCAGAGCATCACAGAGTTTTCTGCTTAGGTCTCTTAGGGTTTTATATTGTTCAAATGGGGAGAGAGAGCAGAACTTCTTTGTGTCCTGTCAACAATCAACGTATTCTTTTTTTAATAAGAGCCCTGAATGTCTCTCTAAGTTGATACAAAATGAAGGTTTCTTCAACATCCAGTTGATGAAATGGGCTTTGCTGCTGCCCAGGTCTTTTGTGAAGAGCTGGGTGGAATTAGGGAGGAAAAAAAATCCTGAGAAAGAAGAAAAAACAAAAAGTACCAAGTTTGTTTGTTTCAGAGTGAGAAAGAGGCAGGCGCAGAGCATGTGTTTGTCTGTGCAGGAAGGGGAGATAAAGGGAAAGGCAAAGAGAGGATGAGAAGGATGACTGAGAGGTGACATGGGGATAAAGATGTGTGAGGCAAGGTGGAGGGGAAAGTGGAGCCAGGCACTTCTCCGTCTGTGGCTGGAGCGTCATCGTCAAAGGCGAAACGAGTTCCAGCACAAGCATGTAAGAGTGCTCTCCACAGCTCTTCTCAGAGCAAGGGGACATCTCACATGGGCCAGTTCCATGGGTCTGAATCATTTATTTCTCTCATTGTTTTAGGTTTGAAATCAATTTCCTCTGTGATCCCGGAGACCAAATCGCTTTCCATTTTAACCCTCGCTTTGCCAGTTCCAGAATTGTCTGCAACTCCTTCCTAGCCAACCACTGGGGGAAGGAAGAAGTTAATAACACCTTCCCCTTTGAAGCGAAGGAGTCATTCCAGGTAACGTGGTGGCACCCAAGGGGTCTCCACTGGTAGGACAGAAGTGACGCTCTGTCCTCTTCAGTGGACTCAGACCTTTCCTAGATGCCTGGATCTGCTCTCAGTTACAGGGCTGTCATTCAGGAATATCTCTACAGGTTTCTGGGGCAAAACTGCCATCCTTAGCACTAAGGGCCACTGCTTGGAGAAAAGAGCTGCAGCCCCTTCTCTCCCTAGCTCACTGCATCTCTGGGCCCAGATCAGCAGGGGTACAGATGGGTATAAACTTGTGCTCTCTGAACATGAGAGTCACCCTGCTAAAATCACGGTCGTTCTCACAGGTCTAACCCTGCCATTCCAACTAGTACCATATCCGGTAACCTCCCCTCTCTGGCTGTCTGAGAAGATCCCTGTCAGCAATTCTTTTGTCCCCTGTTTTGGTGCTGATTTCTGCATAATTCTGGTGCAGACATGCAGAGCTCTAGCAATAGTTCCTTGGCCCTGAATTTGTTTTCAGTCTAGGTTTTGTAGTTTCTGCTAGCACTAAGCAAAGAACTTAATTACTTCTTCATTTGGCCCAGAAGGGTGACCAGTACATGTATCCATTCTGGCAGGATTTGAAGCTGGCTGTAGATGTGCTTGCCCAAATTTGAGAGCTCACTGAAACAAGAGCAGCAAGGTCCAGTGAGGACATAAGTCTTCACCTGGCAACCCTAACACAGTCTCTCTTTCAGGTCGAAATCTACTCTGACCAGGACTATTTCCATATTTTCATTGATGAAAACAAAATCTTGCAGTATAAGCATCGGCAGAAGAATCTTTCGTCCATCACCAAACTGCAGATTCTGAATGATATTGCCATTTCTTCAGTGGAAATCACCAATCGGGGCCTTTAGTAGAGACTGGGGCTGGGACAGTCTCGCAGTCCACTCACTCTCGAGCTCCTGATCCAGCTGAGGGCTGTCTCACCTCTTTACCTACCCCTCACATGCCCTCTACAGGAGAGATATGGCTATACAGAGTGCAGCATCCTTGTAGTGGAAGTGAACGTCATTCCCATCACACACCACAGCACTAAGGCAGCATCAGCCACGTAGCTAGCGGCAGTCCAAATCACTGAACACCTTCTGCTCCTGCATAGTAGGGTGCCCAAAGGGATTTGTAGGAAGGCCTACTACAAATCATCCTCGCAGCTGAACAGCCTGATAGATCACTATTGTATATAGAAGTCTGCCTTGAGTAGTCCAGCACTTGAATGTTATCCTAGAAATTATATTTGCCCAACAGTAGGCTATGAGTTAGTGCTAGTCCTCAGCTGGCCAGGTGGTGATGAATGTAATGGGCGTGGATGTTACCGACAGAAAGGGACATTTCTCTCTGGGAACTCGGTAAAAATCCCATCATACTTGCCAATAAAATCAAACAAGAAAATCCCTGCTGAAATGTCATTCACTGAGCAGCTTGACTGAGTTATTCCTTCCCTGTGATCCTCCAGGTGCACGATATGAGCAAGTCTGGGTGACCGGGAGGCAGGAGGACATCTGGGGCTTGCTTGTTTTCCTCACTACCTTTTTGCTTTGAGGGCTAATGTGAAATGAAAGTCCTGTACACGCAGTTTAGGGTGATAAGATTCAACATGCGAGATATTTCCAAAAGATGCTTTTCAGCAATTGAGAGATATTTGCTCAGTCTGAATTCTGCCAACTCCAGGCAGATTAGACAGACTGCAAGAGTGATGCAGTGGGTCAGAAAAGGAGTAAAGCTTAAAGGAACACCTAACTGCTGGACCATGCACTAGAAATACAGATGGAGTCAAAAATGAAAGGATCTTAAGAGATCAGGGTCTAGAAATTAGGATAATAACTTTCAGAATGAATGAAGTGCCATTTTCCCTGTAGAGTCTGATTTCTCTCTCTCTCTCTGCTCTATTTTCTTATTTTCTCTTCTTCTCCTTTTCAGTTCTCTTTCAAAGCAGTCCACTTATCCCTTGCACCCTATTCTCTCCTCTCTCTTCTGCCATCTTCTTTAGACGCAACAGGTTTCTGTTTCCTTGACCAGGCCACAGGAGGCGAAAAGACATTATTTTTACTTTGTGTTAGTTACGGACATCAAAAGAAGCATAATGTCTCAGTATTAAATCTGAACAGGAACTTGCTCCAAAAATACAATTACAGCTGTCCCCAAATCATTCCTTTGATCCTTAGACATAAGACGGGCCACATTCCTAATGGCTAGCAACAGGGAAAGACAATCATGTGTCACCAGTCGTTTCCATCAAGGAGAAGTTACTTGGTAACAAGCCAGCCCTGACACATCCTTGCTATTGCGTGCGATCACTGAAATGGGTAACTGCTCAGCAAAAGGTCACAGCCTCGCTCTGGTCTTTTCTCAATCCTTAAATTGGCCATTCCCAACTCTTCCCTCTATTTATAGTCTCAAGGATCTAAGAGGAAGAGGTGACCACTTAGCCAACCACAACACAGGATGCCACAGAGTTGACATTTACGAGTCTGTTTAAAAGTTTCTAATATTTTTCCAGACCATTAAGAACACTAACTGGAAGGCATCCCGTTCTCATGGTAAAGAGTGCAATGGGAACATAAAATAGTCCCAAATGGTACCGTTTTCATCCAAAAAGAACAGAAAACATGCTTTGGAAATTGTCACTATCTCAGTTCAAGTCAGGAAGGTCTGATGAGCAAGATTACCAGCGTTGGTGACTCACTGTCCAGTTCTGTCCTTCTTCTGAGCCTCAGTGCTCGTATCTCCAGTCGTTGCGACTGCATGAGGAAGACCTCAGTGTAACCCCAGCCAGGGGCTCTCGGAGGACTGACTTCCACGTCTGCTCAGTTTGGGACTTCCAACAGCCTGGAGTAAATCCATCATCACTAGGACGGAAGGGTCACCCAGGGCCTGGCTCAAATTTCAGTTGCCATGCTCTAACTCAGGGGTTCAACAAACTCCACTGTCTGTTATAGCTATCACTTCAGTAAAACAGGCACAAACACAGAGCAAAATCAGGCCCACTGGTATCTGTGTGTCATGTATTTGATAATGCTGAACTATATTTGAAAGAAAATGCTCTTTTTATTAGTGTTTGTTTGGAGTTTAATAGGGAGAGATTATTTTTCACAGAGAAAAAGTGATGAAATGATTTGAAAGGGTAGCACTTTATACTTATATGGCAGTAGGCTCCGTCTATAGTCACTGCTGCAGACATACGCCACAATTTCATTTGCTCCAGAACTGAGTACAAAGGACCTCAGACAAATGGGACAAAATTATTTCAAGTACAAATAAATAAAGGGATGCCACAAAAGATCAGGCAGTGGCAGAGATTATGCTGTGACTCCTGAACACATTCACCGTAGCTTGTGCCAGAGGCTGATCTCACTCGATTACCATCTGCACAGAGAGAGAACCAATCGCGCCTGACATATCCACAGAGCTGCCGTTGGGGCCAGCATTTTAACCACTTCCTCCTGCGGCTGAAACACTCCCAAGCCAAGCAGTGAAAGAGTCTTCAGAGCCCCTGGCTGCAGCTTGCCACGTTTCTACGGGGAAAGCCGGACATGGAGCCACTGGGGGCTGCAGATCATCTCTGGGAGGAAAACTGCACGGCTGACAGTTTGCAGTTGCCTTGCATAGTTTCATTGGGAATAGGAGATGCCCTCTAAGCCAGTCACCCTCATCTACCCCTGAGGAAGAAACTCCAGAGAAAAGTGAAGCCACACAATTACGATGGTCAGTTAAACTCTTTGGAGCTCTGCAGGTGGTTTGGCACATCAATGATAGCACAAAGGCACTGCGTACTGGTATTCAGGCTATAGGAAAAAACACATCAGTCCTCCTCTCCCAAGTTTTTCCTTGCTTTCCTATTAACAACTTGGGGTTTGAAACTGGGAAGGAAACTAATAGAGAAGAACTCCTGCCCCAGGGTATTTTTGGAGAGTTCAAGGCTTTCTGAAGGGGAAGAGCAGAGCCATCCAGGGGGCTGCGGCCCTGGAAAGGTCTGAAGTCTCACTTCCTAACCTAAAGACCAAATTTATATCTTTGCTGTGGAACAGCTGAGCGACAGCACAGGAGCCAGGCTGAAAGGCTTCCAGAGAGAGCAATTACTGGAGGAGGATATCGAGACTGTCTGTCCTGGACAGGAAGTGCCTATAAAGCAGACATTGCTGCTTACATGAACTGGAAAAGGACACCTGAGAGAAAAATGAACCTCAGGAGGCAAAGCAGAGAGAAAAAGGCAGGAGGAGACCTCTCACTGTGTAGGGCTGCTGCCAAGCGGACTCTCGCTTTTCCACTCAGACAAAACGGCACCCTTACTGGACTGCACTGCCTGCAGTCCCGGGGCTGGACAGTCTTTTCTCCTTTCCACTCTCCTTCAACCTGGCACCTCCGGGGCTGATCTAGGTGCTCCTCACCACTCCCAGAGAAACCCAGATGTCGTATCTTGGACCCCAAACAGAGTCTATCTTCCTCCTCCCAGAGGAGGATCAGAGACTGGGGTAACTCTCACGGTGGTTGGAGAAGTCACTAAATAAGGCAATGGCTGCTTTTGTCAGATGCTACCCAGAAGTCTTAGCTCTGGGAACTGATTTTTCTCATTTGGACTGGATCTGCAGAGCAAAGTGAAACACTCTGGCTCATCACCAGATCAGTGAGAGCAAAGAAGGCTCATAATATCCCCTGTCCTTGATCTGTGCCAGGACTCCCAGGGCCAGGGTCCCCTCTGGCACTGTCATAGTGCTGCAGAGTTCCTGCAGAGCATCTGCCAACACTCCATCGGACAGCATCCCTCAGTGGCACTGACACTCCTGACTGTCATCACATGCACCGGTAACAAGCACCAGCAATTTCCTCACAGATCGGCAAGCAAAAGGCTCCCACGTCAGTGACAGTCATGTCTGCAGAGCAGCAGCCTGGAGACATCCGAATGAGTGACGTTCTCCCTGCTAGCCTTAGCAAGGGACGCTTGAATATCAGATGCTGGGTCCCACCTCGAGACACGAAAGGCAATGTGAAAACGGGCAAGGACTCATTGCCAATGCATTGGAAAAGACTTCTCGGCAAGCATGACAAAGTTATACAGGTTGCATTTGCCTTATAGTCATTTTCTGAATCTACACCTCCCTTTTTTTGTTTTTTGTTTTTAAAAAAGATGGCCACTCCTCTGGGGAAAAAAAAAAAGACTGCAATGCTGGTGGTTTAGCTACATGCACATAAAGCATAGTTCTGAGAGCAGCTGTGTCTAACTAAAACAGGATGCGGGGAGGAGGTGTTATTAACTGCCTAACCATTCCCTTTCTCCTCCCATTTTGATGCCCCACCTGCAGCTCCTGATGGAGGAGCAGAGCCTCGTGGCTGCAGAGCTCCTCACCTCTTCACTGATCTTCAGCAACCACGTGCTGCCTGTAGTCTGCATGTTGCTGAACCTCACTCTACAGCATTTCTGCTTTCCCACCTCTGCAAACACATTGTCACAGACATAGCTGTTGGGAAGAGCAGAGTTTATTAGCAATGAGGTTCTTTCTCACTAAGCCAAACACTTCTCAGCCTTTATCTGGGGGGCTGCTTATTTAATACGTGGGCTGTCAAACTCCTTACATGCTCAGGAGTCACAAGTGTTTGCCAACAGGAATGTAGAACATGAAAGACAAGTGTTCAGCATTTTTCTGAAGAGTATGTGAAAAAATAGAGAGAAAGGAGGAGTAATTCACAGCTCTCAGGCAGTTCTCTCAGGCCCAGTTTGCAGCTGAAAAAGAATCTCTGATGGAAAGAAGAGGAATATTTCTTTCATTGCATTTACAGACTGCTTTACAAAGCCACTTTAACTCAGAGCTGGGCTCTCTCTGTCCAGAGCCAGCTCAGACAGGAAGGTACGTCCCTCAGC